CCCTGCCGATGTGCCGCAAGCGAGGACCGGCAGAGGGGACAATCTAGGGGCCGGGGGGTTGCTAGTCCGGAGCCAGGGATGGCCAGCTACAGAGGGGGTTGAGCTGCAGCTGTGGGCTCTCCTCAGGAACTGGGCAGAGTCCGCATCCCACCCAACCCGCCTCGCCCTAACAGCTCTCTCATCCCAGACCTGGAAGCTCCAAATCTGCCCTCGCCACGCCGGGTTCCCTGCCGGCAGTGGGGAGGAGGCAGGGTTGGACGTAATGCAGGGCACCCTGTGCTCACTGGGGATCCCTGCCGTGTCACTCCACGGTGGGAGGTGCTCTGCTCCTCCAGAGGCTGTGCAGATGAGTGGGGAGTGCAGAAGGTGTGGGAGTCAGATCTTCCAGGTACTGTCCCAGCTCTGGGAGGGAATTGGGGTCTAGTGGTTAGAGCAGGGGGGGATTTGAATGCTGTCTCCGGCCCTGCCACTGACTCACTCTGGTTTTCTGTGCTGTGGAGACAAATCCTTTGGCATCTCAGGCCAAGCGCCGTGCCTCGATTTCCCCACCCGCTTCTGAGGAAGAAGTCCTCTCTCCAGGGGGCGTGGGAGGGTGCAGGTGTCCAGAGCATGATGAGATCAACAGGCAGAAGGGACTAGCAGGGGGATTAGCAGGAGGGTCCGGGGCGTGCGCCATATCAGCAAGAGGGGGGGTGCTGGATTAGCCTCATGTCCGCAAGGCGGGTTGGACAACAGCAGTCCCCGTGGCCGGCAGGGGGGAATGGCTGGCCAGGGCCTTTCCCTTCAGTGCAGGATCAATTACGCTGACCCCAGCCTGAATCAGCTGTCTGGTGGCTGGGATGAAGGGAGTTTGGGGGTGCTCAGCCTGTCTGGGTCTGGGGTGCAGGGTCTCCTTGGCCACCCCTTTTCTGGCCCAGATCATGGTCGTTATCCTGGCCCCGCTGCTAGCCCTGACTGCGCCACTCGCTGTGAGAATCAGGCAGGGAGCCAGGCTGGCACAGAGATGAATGTCCTGCCAGGAGGGGCTAAGACAGAGGGCTGGGTCAGATCGCTGGAGCGGTTGCTGCAGAGGTGGTTGCACTGGAGGGGCGGGGCTGGGGG